AGCTGAAACTGAGAAGTCTTCACTAAAACAGGGATATGTCTTAGCACACTTGGAATTTTAATGTGAGGCTACCACCATTGGAAAGAATACTTATGGGGCTACAATTTAGGCACAAGAATGACCTATAAAGGAGTCCAGATTAAGGAGATATGCTTAATTGAAGTTGGGGCCAGAAACCAGTCTTTGCTTTCTAGCCACTAGTGAAGCTTGTCGGCCACTAATGGCCCTTGTCAGCCATATGTTGTCCAAAAGGGGTTCTTGTCATCCCCAAAAAGTGGCCGGTCGGCCACCAATGGTGGCTGGTCGGCCACAAGTGTCCAGAAAGCTTAGAATTTGCAGATATTTTTCCTCCAGTTGTTTTCACATTGCTCCAGTTATCCTAATTCAAATATTTAGACTTGAGGCTTGTATATGTCTATATATGGAGGCCATATCTATCACACTACAAGAAATTGCACTTTTGGCGGCTACTTTTGGCTACAACGTCAATTTTTTGTAGCTAAAAGTATATTTTTGGCGACACAGCAATCAATTTCGTTGGGAAAAGTAGACCTTTACCAACGCAATTTACTATCGTCGCTAAAAAAGCATAACACTGACTAGGCGCCAAAAATATTGGTTGGCGCCAAAATTTCATAAATTTTAGCTACGAGGCTTAATTTTTAGCAACACAATAAGCGTCGCTATTAATGTGCTTACTTTTGGCGACGACAAGTTGGCATGGGCAAAGAGTTAAACATTTAGCGATGATAATACTATTCGTCGGTAAAAGTTTTGGTAGTGAAATGAGGTGATCTAGTTATTTGTATTTTTATTATAATTTTTCAAAAAATTTTAAATATTCTAATTATTGAATTGTAAAATTAAAGTGATCATCGAATTATATCACAAAATAAACCCGTCAAACTCAAACATGTTCTTAAGTTGAGATGGCTAATTTAAGATAATCTAAACTTTTCCAAGTGGTTAGATCATCAATTTCAATATATTTGGTTGTATTTTTAGAAACTTATTTCAAAATTTCTAAAAAATTAAAAAACATTTGGTGAAAAAATAAAATATACTTATTATTTTTGTATAATTTTATGTTTTGGGAGGTCATAAATTTTTTGTCCACTCATATTGTGTTGCTAAAAGTGTATTTTTTGCCAATGTCAATTTGTCGTTGCCAAAACTAAAGCTTTATCGACAATCAAATCGTTGGCAAATGGCAACATTTACCGACGTAAATGTGTCGCTAAAAGTTACTTTTCCCCACTCATATTGTGTTGGTAGAAGTGTATTTTTTGCCAATGTCAATTTGTCGTTGCCAAAAGTAAAGCTTTAGCGACAAACAAATCGTCGGCAAATGGCAACATTTACCGACTTAAATGTGTCGCCAAAAGTTTACTTTTGCCGACGCATATGTTGTTGCTAAAAGTATATTTTTTGCCCATGCAAATTTGTGTCGCGAAAAGTGTCACACAATTATCATATTTGAATGACTTTTACCAGCGCAAGGTAAATTGCCGACAATGGATGGAGGCTTTTAGCGACGACTATGTTCGTCGCTAAAGGTATTACTTTTACCAACGCAATGATCATTTCGTCGGCAAAAACTTTTGCCAACTCACTTTTGCCTACGGGTTGCCAACGTAGCTTTGTGTGTCGGCAAAACTCTTTGCCAACGAATTTTCCCTTTTAGCAACATATTTTGTTGCGTTGCGAAAAATGCAATTTCTTGTAGTGTCATTTGGGAAGGTTAGAAAGTTTGGGAGCCTCTCTCTATAATTCTCTCTCTAGATTTCTCTCTCTCTTGCCCTTTTGTGCATATAAGTATAGAAACACTTCTAGTTTGCCTAGACATCCTTAACCAAAGTTGCATATCTTTGGTCTATGGTCCCTTGGAACCTATTTTGGACTGTTGAAAGCTTGTTTGAGCCTAAGAGAGTGGTTGTTTTGTGCTGTGTTTCAAAGGCATAAGTCTTACATCTTTTAAGCTTTGTTTTAGTTGATTGCTTGGCCATCTTTTTACACTTTTTTGACCTGGTTTTTTTAACCATAAAAAACTCTATTTTATGGTTTTAAAATGGTAGCTTGAGTCTTGTTGAGTTAGGGGGTGGTCTTTTCTTTTTACTCTTTGGCTTGTGAAGATTTTGGTGCCATTTTTCAAAGCTTTTAAAGTCAACCTTTTTTGGTCTTTTAACCACTGAATTCCAGTGGAATTTTAGTGGTAAAAACTTGGTTTTGAGGTCCAAAATAGGAGGGGGTGGCCTCCCTTCCTTGTGTCTTGTTTGCAAGTGTAGATAGCCTAACATGTGAGCATGTTCTTCTACCTTTTTGTGACTTGATCTCAGCATATTTTTGCTACTGATTTAGCATGATTTAGCTCTGTTTTGAGCTGTCTTGGTTGTATGAGCTTTGTCTTGCATGGTTATAGTGCAAATGCCTTCACTAGCTTAGTGTTTTAAGGCCTCTAACATGCTTTGCTTGAGATGATTGCATGCTATAGCATCATTTAACATGTGATTTCAGTGCATGTATCTCTATCATACTCTCACATACTTCACTCTTTCATTGCTTTTGAGAGTTATGCTTTGAGCCTTGCTTGTGAACCAACACATGAGCATGTTTTTCTTGCTTTTTATGCTTCTATCTCAGCATGTTTTAGCCACTATTTTGGCATGATTTAGCTCTGTTTTGAGCTGGTTTGGTCATTTGAGCTTAGTATTGCATGCCTCTAGTGTAGTGTTCTTCACTAGCTTTGATGTTTTTGGCTTTTAACATGTTGTGCATGTGTTCCTTGCATGTTTTGGTGTCTTTTGCATACCATTTCAGCACAAAAAAGTCTTTAACCTCCCTCATTTCTTCATTTTTCTATTTGTTTTGAGAGTTGGTTAACCTTATGATTGTGTTTAAGCTTGAGATAGAGCTTGTGCTCAATGGGTTTAACCCTCTTTTGAGGGTTTCTCCTAGCTAAAGGCATGATCTCTCTTATGTCTTAAACCATCCTTTGGTTGACCCCTCACTGATTAGAGGACAACCACCTTGGACAAGTTGACTAAAGAATGGCTTGGTAATGTTAAAATGTGTAAATCAAACATGACAAATAAAACATGACCAAGATAAACATGTTTGTGTTGCATTGCATGTGTTTGAATCAGATGTTAATCCAAACACAAGAAATGTGGGACGTTTCATACTCAAAGAGATGAAACGTGTCACGTTTCTCGGTCATCATCACCCTTGATCATGCATGATAGGGTGGTGGCCCTTTGAGTCTTATATGTGCATTCATTGACTTTGTACAAGCTTGGTTCTTTGGCCATCATGCATGAAAATGCTTGATTGGTGGCTTGAGAGCCAAGTACTATACTCCTTTGAGCTTGAGAAATGATAAGGGGGTTGGCAGTACACACATTCCTTGAAAAATGCATTGCTTTGCCTTTGTTGCTCTCTGTTGCAGCAAAAGCAAGAGTCTGGAAAAAGCAGTGGCCGACCGGCCACATGAAGTAGCCGACCGGCCATCTAGACTAGCCGACCGGCCAGTTAAGGTGGCCGATAGCCACCTTCTGTGGCCGACTGGCCACCAGTCCATTTTTGTGCAAAAGAGTTCCTGTGTGAGAACCCGAATATAAAAATTAAGTAAATAATTAAATAATAATTTTACAAATCTCAAATATTTTATTATGAATCTATAAGTGCAAATTAAATATTATTGGAGGATCTTTTATTTAATTTTAAACTTAAAATAAATTTATGGTGAAAGTCTTCAATTTAAAGGCAAGATTTATTATTTTAAAAAATAAATAAATAAATAAATAAAATAAAATTAAGTGTCAAATTAGTAAGCATATTTTGATCTAATAGTAGTTGTATTTTATTTAAATTAATGGAGAGATAAAATAAAATAAAATAAAACAAAGGACATTTTTGTCTAGAGTCATTTATGTTATGTATAACAAAGAAAAGAAAAGAAAAACCCTAGGTTCCTAATACATTCTATAGCAGCAGCCACAATAGCCACGGGGAGGAAGAAGTTTGAGAGAAAAGAAGAAGAAAAAAGGGGATTGCAAACAAGGAGTAATTTTTGGGTGTGGTAGGTCTTCATCTTTCTTCTTTTCTTTGTTTTTGTTCTTCATCCTTACTCTATTATTATTTAGTTCATTGATGGAGAGGTTGTAGATTTATGTATTTTGCATATATGTATACTGTTAAGAAATCTAAGGAGTTAAATTCATGTATAAAGAATCGGTGTGAATCTTAGTCCAAAAATTCTGCACATAATCGCAAACTTTAAAAATCAAGAAACCATATCAAACGGATGAATTTTAAGCTGAAATTTTTACAGTAGATCAATTACATATTGAATTGCATATCTGAATTTGTTCATAATTTTTGGGAGTCAAAATTCATATAAATTGAGGTATCCAAATCTGTCCAGGAAACCAGTCCGAAATAGTAAATTCGGTAGTGTTGTTCTCTTTGGGTATAAATCCAAAAATTATCAAATTAGTGTCATTAGAACCGTTTATGAGTCTAGTTTCGTACGTTTTTGGCCTTGCATTGATTGCTCGTGTATATTAAGAGAACCGTTAATTTCTTTAAAGTGCTGCAGAAAACAACCTGTTTGGATATAATAAATTGTAGATAATTATTTTGATAAGCAAATCAAGTGAAACCAATTGGGTTTGAAACTTAGGATATATTAGATCATATCTGGAGGTTCTTGGAATTTTTCGAATAGCGTGGAGTGGGTTTTATAATTTTCAAAGTTAGCGAATAGATTGGAAAAACTTGTTTAAAATTCTGTTTTATCTTAAAGTTATTTTTAGTTAAGTTTCGATCGAACCCATATCTTGGGTGATTTTAGACCTTGGAGAACATGAACTTAGGTAATATTTAAGAGTAACGGTGAGTTGGGTTGAGCTGTGCTAGTGCGCTTTAGTTGATGTTACTTAGTTCTTATTTTTTTTAGTATTTTTAAATTAGTTGTGACGTGTAGTTTTTATACTTGGTTCAGGGCATTAGTTGGACTTTTACACTCTATTCGAGGATTATATTATTTCGATTTCAGGTGAGTAGGTTCATGCTACATATTTTTATAAATGTTCCCCTACCCTAAACTATTGGAAAATTAAATTGTTGTTTTAAGACTAAACTGTTTTGATAAATTATTATATTATTAATGGAATCAAATTATTTCTAAAACGTGTGTGAACTTGGCATATTGTAAACTATTTGTTTTGGCCTTATGTTTATAATGATGAACCACCATGTTTTGCGAAACTGATGTGTATTGATTATTGGGACCATGTGTGTATTTAGTTCAGGGAAATTATTCCACTGTGTGTGGTGACTCTGACCACTAGGGAAGAGAATCCCGGCGTTGGGGCCCCGTGATGACTCTAGTGCTCACGAATTGTAAGGAAAAACCTTTAAAAACAACTAGGGACCTCAATCGGATCGTCTTTGAGAAAAGGGCCCCAGGTGCCACCCTGGGATGACTCTAGTTCGGTATGGATCAACGGGGCTTAGAGCCCTTGAGAACTTGTGGCAGATTATTGTTTTTATTGGTACCACGGGCTAGAAAATTATTGGTGTTCATGTTATAATCTGTTTTAGTGGAAAATGTCGTTTATCAATGTTCTGCGAGACTGAGTATGCTTTAATGTTGAACTGTGGAACCTTCTTTTGAAACAGATGTATTTACCAACTGTAGCCCAATCTAGTTTCTGTGATATATATCTTATTTTGGGATTGAACCTTGTTATTTCAAAACTGTATTTACTATCCATGTTGCTGACTGCACTGAAGCAGTCAGCTGACTTATAGTTGTTTCCATTAATCCAGGTGGTTAGAAGGACTTAGAGTGGACTCATGGCGTAGCGGGGACTCAATTGCATGGACCTCTAGGGGCATTCCTGTTAGTTTAAGTGTTTATGTCAAGTTTGTGCATATTTATATTTATTTTATCGAAGTTTCCATTAGGATTATTGTTTGATATGTGTGGTTGTTTATATCCCATAAGTTTGGATGGTTTTTGATTACGGTTGATTTTGCCGTTTATAATTGTGACATGTCTGGATTGAGTTTTGGTTATTTATTATTGGACTATTGTTCAGTTGTTCAATGTGATTGGATTCGTGTTTAGGCTTACGTGTGCCTTGGGCTAAGTCCCTGTGGGCCACGGCCGGTCATGCCCGGATTTGGGGTGTGACAATTGTGGTATCAGAGTTGTAGTTATCGAGTTACATATCTTGCATTTCATCATTTAGACGAGGTCCGAGTCCCTATAGTCCTTAGTAGTGTTTGGTTAAGTTAGTTTTGTTTAAGCTTGTGTTGAGCTTTTCTTAATTTCATTTTGAAGGTTAAGAGATGGCACCTAGGAGAAGAAGTGTCAATGCTCTTGGAACTGATCAACCAGCTGCTAATCGTAGAGTTCCCCCTGTTCCTATACCCCCTACCGCACCACCTGTTGCTCCAATCGTTCCTGAAGCACCAGGAGTTGTTCCTACTGCACCAGCCGCATAGGTTTTACAGTCATTGTTGGGATTACTGAACAATCATGTAGCCCCACAACCAGCAGTTCACCCAACTTTAACTTTGGATAGAGGTTCCTTATTTGAGAGGTTTATGAAGGCAAAACCTCCAGAATTTCACGGAACAGTGGACCCTACGGAGGCAGAGGCATGGGTACTAGAGATGGAGAAAATATTTGATGTTCTTGGTTGTTCAGCAGACCAGAAGGTGGCCTTCGCAGCTTTTAGGTTCAAGGGTCAAGCAGAGCATTGGTGGCGCATGGTGAAGCGTCAATATGAGGGTAGAGAAACAGAGCTAGTGTGGAGCAAGTTTCTAGAATTGTTTAATGAGAAATACTTCCCTGAAGCGGTGCGAAGGCAGAAGCAAGTGGATTTTCTCAATTTGAAGCAAAATGACATGTCAGTGGCTCAGTATGAAGCCAAGTTTGCAGAGTTGTCGAGGTATGCCCCACGTCAGGTGGCCATAGAGGAAGATAGAGTGATGTTGTTTGAGAATGGCTTGCGGTCAGAGATCTATGCAAAAGTAGCTATTTTGGAGATGAAGACATATTCTGCATTGGTAAGCAAGGCATTACTAGCTGAAAGTGGAGTAGAAGAGGAAAAGAGAGCTGAGGAACAAAAGGCTAAGGAACCACAAAACAAGAGACTTAGAGAGGAGAGACAAGTAGAGCAACGTGGTGGTGGTAGCAATCCTAGCAAGAAGCCTTACACCCAAGGTCAGGTTAGCAATGGCATGAGACAGCAGAATCGGAGGAATTGTGATAGATGTGGTAGGTCACATTCTGTTGGGTATAATTGTGATGGCACAGCTCGAATATGCTTTAAGTGTGGCAAGCCTGGGCATCTCTCTGCACAATGTAGGTCTAAGGGACTGGGAGGTCAGTCAATAGCACAGTCATTTCAGGGGCAAGGGCAGAGACGAACTTTTTATAGCGGTGGGTTTAACCAGAAGCAGAATAATGGCAAAAGTGGGACTACCCAAGGTCAGACATCCGGGAATGGGACTCAGGAAAAGAAGTCAACAGCTACCCAAGGACGTGTTTATGCTCTCACTAGAGAGGAGGCTGAGGTTGCTCCATCTGTGGTGCAAGGTACACTCCTTATATCATTTGTACCTGTCAGAGTTTTAATTGATTCAGGATCTACACATTCTTTTGCTGCACCTAAGTTTCTACGTTGCTTGTCTATTCCTTGTGAGCCTTTGGATGCATGTATTGCTGTGTCTACTCCATTAGGAGAAACAGTAGTGTTAGGGGATGTTTGTAGATATTGTGAGATAAAGTTAGATGGTAGAATTTTTCCAGTGGATTTGATTTCTTTAGAGATGAAGGATTTTGATGTGATTTTGGGGATGAATTAGTTAACGAAGCATCATGCCTCTATTGATTGTTTTAGAAAGAGGGTAGTTTTTGCTATGCCAGGGCAACATGAGTTTTTCTTTTAGGGAGATGTGAAAGGGTCTTCTATCTATTTTACTTCTTCCTTTTAGGCTAATCGAATGTTAAGTAAAGGGTGTCATGATTATTTAGCTTGTGTGGTGAGTATTGAACTGCCAAAATAGAAGTTAGAGGAGTTGCCTGTTGTGAGTGTTTGTGTTGATGTTTTTCCAAAGGATCTACCTGGACTTCCTCTAGATCGCGAGGTAGAATTTTCCATTAACTTGGTCCCCAACACAACACTTATTTCTAAAGTGCCCTATATAATGGCACCATTGGAGTTGAGGGAGTTTCAAACTTAGTTATAGAAGTTGTTAGAGAAATGTTTTATTAAGCCTAGTGTTTCACCTTGGGGAGCACCTGTGTTGTTTGTGAAGAAGAATGATGGGTCTATGAGGTTGTGTATTGATTGTTGAGAACCGAACAAAGTCACAGTGAAGAATATGTATCCTTTGCCACGTATTGTTGACCTATTTGACCAATTGTAGGGAGTTCAAGTATTCTCTAAGATTGACTTGAGTTTAGGCTATCACCAGTTGAAAGTAAGGGATGAGGATGTTCCTAAGACAGCTTTTAGATTCCATTATGGGCATTATGAGTTCTTGGTGATGCCTTTTGGTCTCACATACGCACCAACCGCATTCATGGATTTAATGAACATACTATTTAAACCCCAGCTAGATAAATTTGTGGTAGTGTTTGTTGATGACATCCTAATTTAATCGAGTAAGGAGGAACATGAGCAGCATTTGAGGGTAGTACTGCAGATCCTCAGGGAGAAGAGATTGTGTGAAAAATTTAAGAAGTGTGAATTCTGGTTAAGCAGTGTATCCTTTTTGGGTCATGTGGTGAGTAAAGATAGGGTATCTGTGGATAGCACAAAGGTGGTAGAAAATCGTTGATTGGCCACGACCTACTTCTGTGATAGAGGTACGTAGCTTTCTAGGGTTTGCTGGGTATTACAGATGGTTTGTGGAAGGATTTTCCCGTATTGCTTTGCCACTTACCAATCTCACCAGGAAAGGGGTAAAGTTTGAGTGGAATGATGATTGTGAGCGTAGTTTCCAAGTGTTTAAATAGAGATTGACATCAGCTCCAATCCTTGCCTTACCTACAGATGGAGGTGGTTTTGTGATTATAGTGATGTTTCACGACAGGGTTTAGGATGTGTGCTCATGCAGCATGGGAAGGTGATTGGTTATGCATCACGACAGTTGAAAGTACATGAGAGAAACTATCGTACGCACAACTTAGAGTTAGCAGCAGTGATTTTCGCTCTTAAGATCTGGCGGCATTATTTGTATGGAGAGTCATGTGAGATTTACACTGATCATAAGAGTTTGAAGTATATTTTCACACAGAAGGAACTAAATTTGAGGCAAAGAAGATGGCTTGAGTTACTAAAAGATTATGATGTGAATATTTTATATCATCCGGGGAAGGCAAATGTGGTTGCAGATGCCTTGAGTAGGAAGGTCGCAGTTGGAGATATAGCTGCTTTGTCTATTGAGAGTTGTTTGGTGGAAGACATGAGACGTTTGAGGCTTGAGGTTGTTACACCTGGTAATAGGGCTTATTGTAGTCAATTGATAGTTCAGCCAACCTTGAGAGAACGGATTCGTTTAGCACAGGAGATTGACCCCCCAGTGTGAGCGTATTAAAGGAGAGATGGCAGAGGGTAAGAATGTAGACTTTGTGGTTAGTGATGACGGGTTGCTTAGATTCCGTAGCCGAATTTGTGTTTCTGTTGGTGGTGATTTGAGGAAGGAGATTATGATAGAGGCACATAGTTCTAGTTATAGTTATAGCATTCATCTTGGAAGTATTATGATGTATTGGGATCTTTATGAACATTTTTGGTGGAATGGTATAAAGGGAGATATTGCAGAATTTGTGGCTCAGTGTTTGGTGTGTCAACAAGTTAAAGTAGAATATTAGAAACTTGCGGGGAAACTACGACCCTTACCTATACCAGAGTGGAAGTGGGATCATGTTACCATGGACTTCGTGTGCGGATTACCTCGTACTAGTAGTAATCACGATGCAGTTTGGGTAGTTGTTGATAGATTAACTAAGTCAGCACATTTTATTGTAGTACGGATGACCTATTCTCTAGCCCGATTTGCACAGTTGTATGTGAAGGAGATTGTTAGATTGCATGGTGCACCAGTGTCAATAGTGTCAGATCGGGACCCTCGTTTTGTGTCTAAGTTTTGGGGTGCGTTACAATCAGCTATGGGTACTAGGTTAAATTTTAGTTCAGCTTATCACCCTCAGACAGATGGGCAATCAGAGAGGACTATTCAAACCCTTGAGGATATGTTGAGGGCTTGTGCTTTGGAGTGGAGAGGTAATTGGGATGATTATTTTCCGCTCATGGAGTTTGCCTATAATAATAGTTATCATTCTAGTTTGGTAGTAGCTCTTTATGAGGCTTTGTATGGGAGGAAGTGTAGGTCTCCTTTGTGTTGGTATGAGGTTGGTGAAAGACAAATGTTGGGACCTGATTTGGTGGAGGATGCTACACGAAAAATTATCACCATCAGAGAGAGATTATTGACTGCTCAGAGTAGACAAAAAAAAAAAAAAGTTATGCTGATCATCGTGGGAGAGACTTAGAGTTTCATGTGGGGGATATGGTATTCTTGAAAGTATCACCATGGAAAGGAGTCATCAGTGGAAGAAATAAATGACAATGAGAAATATGTGTCCTTTGCCATGTATTGATGACCTATTTGACCAATTGCAGGGAGCTTAGATATTCTCTAAGATGGACTTG